TTCTCTCTTGCTGACAATCTCCTTTCTCTGAAGATGAGACCTGCTGGACAGTAAGAAGGCAGAATCCTTTTACTTTCCTTAACGTGCTGAGATGCAAACAAAAGAAACCAGAGCAAGTTCCTGCCTGCTGAAATTCCAGGAGCTTGAGCTGCATTCCAGCACGGCTGAGAGGCATTTTGAATCTTCTCTCAAATGTACCAACCCTGCATTGCTCCCAAGCAACTGCACTTTCAGTTAGTTATTATTAATAGTAGAGGATTGAATACCAATAGTTCTCATTAATTTCCATGGCAATATTGCCTGAATCAAGATAACAATTGCTTGGAGTTGTGTAACCGAAGTCCATAACGTGAAGGAATGCAATCCAGGGAAAGTGCTCAGATGGAGGGAAGTGACCGACCTTGCATAACCTCCCTAAGGCCAAACTTCCCTTCATATCTAGCAGACTGCATTCCTAATTTTCCAAAAATACAGAACAGTTTGCACTTTCAGCCTGTGTCCTCTGGGCTTTAGCCTCCAGCATGCCTCACAGCTTTCCTGAAACRTTTCACCCACACATTTATTCCTTTATATTATTCCTAATGATGAATGGCTGGAGCTTCCATAAGAAAAGATGTAACAGGAAAATAAACAATAATAGAAAAATTTAAAACCATATTACCTTCCTCTTCTTTGTCTGTCTTGCTAAGMTTGTTGTTGCTGCAGAAAACAGCCRAGACTATGATTGATCTAGACATTAAATTATGGATTTTCACTCTATCAGTTAATTACAAATACCTTTTAAAGTCCAAATAAACCTTTTTTGGTTAGCTGACCCTTTGGTTAGATAGAATAATTTCAGTCAGTAAGAATTACAACATTTCCCAGAATTTAAAGAGGGAAATGTTATGAACAAAGAGGAATCTGAGTGGGCGTAAATTCCTCRCCCTGCTATGCTGGTAGGATTATATCTCAGGCTTTCAGAGCAGGAAAAGGATGTTGCAGACATAATGGCAGGGAATATCAATCAGATAACTAAATTAAATTACAGAGTTCTGAGATTAACTATTTAACTTCAGTTACATGAAGACAATTGGCCAAGTGCCACAACAGAAATGAGATTCAGAGGAGCAATTTCTCAACACATTGAACAACTTCTTGTAAGGACTAGTTCAGATCAGACAACAGGTTATGCTTGACTAACTTTAAAAGACACAAGATTTGTGTAAGAAAGAATGGTAGCTTAATCCCTCATTAGTGGTAGCCACAAAATCASCTCTCCTAGAGAAAGAATTTCATCAAAATGACAGGATATTATTCTGAATTTTAGCAGATTTATATTCTGAGGGAGTGAGCCATTAATAAAAGATATTGTGGGTAAACAAAACGTCTCAATAGTGCTGTTGAAAGGAGCAGAGACGTGGGTCCCTGACTTTCAAGTCCTTTTKTTAACAGTTTGTGATGCTCTGGTACTGTCAAAACCACAGTTGCACTTCTTTGCTTTTTAGTACATCACAGCTAAACCATGCATGGTGTGAGACAGACCTCTTTGAGGCAAAAACTGCAAATACCCTGGGGTGGGTGAGTCTGGCTGATGGCAGAGACAGAGGAGAGGTTGAAAGAGGCTCTAGGGGTGGACGAGGCAGGTCCTCACACTCTGGAGCACCAAGTGACTCTGGCACGGCTGCCCTGTGTTGTGCCATCACCCCTGATGGTGTCTGWAACCCACCCTGGGTCCCCCAGAGCCCCGCACCAAGGGAGCCATGAGGGGTGTGGGAGCACAGGACGCTCAGGGGGCTGAGGGGATCAGAGGTGCCTGCAGAAGGTGCCATGTCCTACTGTCCATGTCCTACTGTCCGTGTCCTACTGTCCATGTTCTCAGGCACCTGTGCTGTGTACATGACTGTGTGCATGAGGGGGTGTGAGGGAGGTTCTGTCCCTCTGCCCCACTCAGGTGAGACCTCACCTCAAATACCGTGTCCAGCTCTGTAATCCCAGAACAGGACATGGACCTGTTGGAGTCCAGAGGAGGCACCAAGAAGATCAGAGGGATGGASCACGACTGCTGTGAGCAAAGACTGGGAGAACTGGGATTGTTCAGCCTGCAGAAGATTTTGAGATGACCTAATTGCAGCTTTCCAGTATAGAATCACAGAAGCACAGAATGTGTTGAGTTGGAAGAGACCCACCAGGATGATTGAGTCCAGCTSCTGGCCCRGTACAGGACACCCCAAGAACMTCACCCTGYRCCMRAGAGCAYTGTGCAAAYGYTCCTTGAGCTCAGACAGGCTCAGKGCTGTGACCACTGCCCTGTTCCAGTGCCCAGCCAYMCTCTGGGTGAAGAACATTTTTGTGATWTCCAACCTAAACCTGCTCTGACTCAGCTTCACACTGTTCCTGAAGGGAGCCTACAAGAAAGRTGGGGAGAGACTATTTACCAGGGCATACAGTGACAGGACAAAGGGGAATGGCTTCACAYTGACAGCGAGTAGGTTTGGATTAACTGAGTCACCATTCCTGGAGGTGTTYAAACACAGACTGGATGTGGCACTTAATGCCACGGTCTAATTGACAAGGTGGTGTTAGGTCACAGATTGGACTCGGTGATCTCAAAGGTCTTTTCCAACCTAATTGATCTTGTGATTCTGTGATTAGAAATTTAGAAGAAATTCTTTCTTGTGAGGGTGGTGAGCTACTGGAACAGAGCCGCTGCGGCTGCCCCATCTCTGGAAACGTTCAAAACCAAGCTGCACAGCGCCCGAAGCAATCTGCTCCAGTGCAAGCTGTCCCTGCCCGCGGCAGAGGGTGACACCGGACGACCTTTAGGATTCTCTCCCACCCAAACCGCTCCCCGACCCCATAACCGCGCACTCCCCTCACGGCCCCCGGGCGCCCCGCGCCGCTCACCGCGCATGCGCGCCGCCCGTCCCCGCCCCCGCTCCGCGCAGGCGCCGGGCCCGCCCCC